CATGTCAATAACTCTCCTGTGCGGGCTCGTGGTTCAGACCTCGTCAGGTTGAGGACGATTATTAAAAACTGTGCAGTGCTGAAGTTCTTTCTCGGCCTAATCAGACTTTGAATCTCCTCAGACTGTTTGATCTTTCTCTCAAATATAATTTTTAGTTTAATCTATTCTTAAAAGACAAAAAGGAAACACGTTTAATAATTGATAAAACCCCAAATCGTTACAGAGAATCTGCATTAATGAAGTGCAGGACTAAAGAAGCGAGGCTTTCCTCCTCCTCCTCCTCCTCCTCCTCCTCGTCTTTGCCTGACTCTTTAATGTCCTCTGGCGTGTTGCTCTTTTAATCATAACATTCGACTGATTGATTTCCTCTCGACCTGAAGACGGAGCCGACAATCAGCTCGACGGCTGCAGACTGAGGGTTTTACACTCCTGATCAAAGAAGAGGAGGAGGAGCTGCTTTAATATTTCACACCTCCTCATGGTGGAATCAGAGACGACAGCAGATTAGCAGAGCTGTTTTATTGGCTCTCGGGTCAAATTCAGTTAACGATGCACTTCTTTGATATTTTCCCAGAATGTCATCGATGTGGTTAGAAAAATAACCTTTAAACTTGAACAGACTTTTACACCTCTATGTGAACCTAGATTACTGACATGTCCTGTTGTTTGTACAGAAGATTATTGAAAAAAAACATCTTGAATTTTGTCAGATTACGATCAAGACCTCAAAGTTTCTGAAAAATGGCCTTACATTCAGAATAAAGGAACGTTCACAAAAAAAGTTTAGTTTATGGTTTAGTTTGTCAGGGACCGTGTACAAAATATACATTAATCTCAAGTCCAACAGAGTACCCCCATGCACAGCCTTTACGTTCTCAGGTGCATAAGATTACAGGAACATACCGTTAGCTTCCTCAGGCATTGATCGCTCACAATAAAATACAGTAAAGTTATTTTCAGTGTGCCACAGAGTTTAGAATCATTTTTCATACATTGATCTCACTTAGCGAGAGGAGACGCATATCACCAGATTCACATGATGAGCTCGATTCCATCTGCAGGTAGACACACAAATAATGAGTCCACTCAAGATATTTAATTAAAAAGACAAATAGATAAATAACATAAAACTGGGAAAGTGTCACATTTTACACGTTTGTGTGTACAAACGGAATTGTATTTTTAATTTAGTCCTTTATGTCATATTTTTCACGAGTAAGAAAAATCTATTTTAAGGAATCTATTTTATCACCATCAGGATTTACCCAAACATGAATATATTTAAAGCTTACTTACAGATTTACATCCAGACATTTGATTTACTCCCTTTTCACACATGAAGGGTAAAGTTAGATTCTTCAGATCTCAACGTATTTAACTTGTTCATTTTAGGATAATAACACTGGTAATTTCATGATGACGACTGAAGTTCAGCCATTATCTTGAGATCTTTAGATATTCACTTTTTAAATTACGTGAAACCCGCAGACAGCAGGATGAAGAAGCTGAGGTCATGATAAAACAGCTGAAATGTTGAATTATCATGAGTAAAATAAAATAAATGGATGGATGTTTGTCCACCAAGGGCTACCGTAGAATTTAATTTTCGTGCAATCAACATTTATTCAATCACCAAACAGAAAAAGGAACAAATCGTATTTTATATAAACCCTCCATCTTTCTGCATGAATCTGCTTCCTCCTGTGATACCTTATTTAAATAAACAGGTTTTATGAGCTCGTCATATTATCTGTTGAAATGTCAGATTTTTGTGACTCTCTCTGACTCTCTGAGCCGTCGCTGCTGCAGTGACCTCATTTCCTCCTGCAGCGATCAATAAAGTTTTCTCTTTATTTTATAACTCCAAAGTCACCAACAGAAAATAAACTCTGCACATTTTTATTCATCATGATATATGTTTTTAATCTGCCCTTTCTTACACAACTGAATCTCATGTTGTCTCTTCGTGTAGACGTACAGGTATTGCTTTAATTCTCACATTTCATCTCTGACTGTTTGTCCCACATAAATCAATAGCTTTGTCATCGCTCTGAACATCCTGTTTGCTGCTGGGATAAATAGTCTTTTTGTTTTCCAATGAGAAGTTAGAACGACATCAGATGAACTGGGTTTCAAACGATTACACAACAGTGTTTAACAGAAATACAGCTAAGAGAAACAGTTAAAATATAAATTTATATATTTAAACTTTATAAGTTATTAATATGAATATTTCAGGTTTATTTCATTCTGTATGAAAGCGAACAAATTGCTTCATTCAGAAGAAAATGAATCTTAATCCGTCTGTTTAAATCCAGCTGTTGACTCCTGCAGGTTTTCTTTGTTAGCAGCTGCTGTCATGACGCAGTTGGGCTAAAAGGCAGAGGTCAGAGGTCAGCGGCCCCCGGCGCACGCCATCTGACCTTCGCTCATTTCCATCCACGCTGACCTACATCCCCGAGACCGTTGAGTCTGTTTCTGGTCAATACCCTCCCTCTAAAAAAAAATAATACAACTATTAGAAAATTAAAGATTTCTGAAATTTAACACGATAAGTCAAATATTTATGATTCAATAAATAAAACGTTTAAATTGTTTTTATATAATTTACTGAACAGTTTAATGTCGTATCGGTTATTGTTGTTTATGTGTCATCATCATTGATCATTACAAACCTACTGAGGGAGAAATAATGACATCATTCATCAGAAGGAGATACTGATTGATTATCTCACACACACACACACACACACACACACACACACACAAACATTCAAAAACACACTTACACAAACACACACACACACACACACACACACACACACACACACAGGTATTTATTAACAGAAAAACTTGTGGGTCAATTCCAACAAAAAATAATTATATGACTTTAGATTAAGGAAAACATACAAAAACATTTAATATAAATTATCTAACTTGTTTTTTATTTATATTTTTTTAACTATTAATAACTTGTCAGGAAGATTCACTTCATGCTGCCGTATCTTTGTGTTATTCACGTCTTTTCAATTCAATTCAATTCAATTCAATTCAATTCATTTCAATTCAATTCAATTTATTTGTATAGCGTCAACTCATAACAAGTGTTATCTCAAGACAATTTACAAAAAGCAGGTAAAATACCTTACTCTTTGTCTGTTAACATTACATAATAAATAAAATTACTTTAATAAAATTGAAATCATTTTTCCTTTTTCTTTTTATTGATGTGTAAAATGTTGATATCTGTGATCGACAGATTTTCTCCGTATTTAAATGGATGATGTTTGTTTTATATAATTTGTTGTTTGATTTTTGAATGAAAAACAAGAAAGTCTGTAATTTAACATGTAATCCCTGAATATATACATAGATATAAATATAATAAATTATTAAATTATCCATGACTGTTTGACATGTTCTCTTATTTCCTTCCATAGGATGTTTTCTGTATATTTGAGCTCACCAGCACAATTAAGAAAAAACTGTTTCAGACTCTTTAGACATTGATAATGACATCAAAGCTGTCACACAATTTAAATGTGCAGCGATGCTGAGGATCAATAATAAATAAATGCATGGATTTCTGTGATTACTAAAATTACATTGAGCTTTTTTTCCACACAAACACATGAAATAGTGTTGCTGTAAAACACTGAAAAATGTTTAATATTACAACTCATTAAATGTATTTGTGACCAGGAGGTTTCCCATTGAGATAAAAGAATCTTTTGAACAATGGAGTCCTGCACAAGAAAGCCATTTTTAGCACAGACTGTGGTTGTCAGCCTGTCATCATCATGAGAAGGGATGAAAGCAGTGAGACATGACTTCACGCTCGCCAAGACCCTTTACCAAAAGAGCTAGGTCTAGGCCGTGCCACAATGCATGATGGTTTATAATGCTGAGTTAGTCAACATGGAGGTTGAACAATTCAATTCATACGGTATAATCAGCCCCACTCACTCATGATGTAGAAAGCATGCACCTACTGTATATAGTGTCCTATGTGGGGTAGTAAGTGAGCAGTGGGTGATTATGTATCCTGTGTCTTCCTCCGCTCAGTTCACAGTGTTCAGAAGATGCTCACCAACCTTTGAGCTGTGAGTAAAACTACACAGTCCTCCAAAAACCAGCAGCACACTATCGACCTGCAGGCTGCTGACATCGACTCTGTTTGCATTGCAGGAACTACGTGAGTGTGTGTGTGCGTGTGTGTGTGTGTGTGTGTGTGTGTGTGTGTGTGTGTGTGTGTGTGTTTGCATGCTTTTGTTCGTCCGCCTATGGGTAGTTGAAGTTGCAGTTAAGTGAAGACAGTTGCCTTGGTTTAAATTTACAATCCTATCTTTGCCATTCGAAGCTTGATCCAAAAGGAACTGAACAGGTTGAAGATCTTGAAGACGTTTTACCTCTCCTCCTCTGAAAGGATTCTTCAGTTCTAAACTATCTCATGGACAGAGTGACAAATAGAAGAAATTTCACCTACGCAACGCTAGGTTAACGACTCAGTTTAAAGAAGCCTTTCAGTGGAGGAGAGGTGAAACATCTTCGAGATCTTCAACCAGTCCAGTTGCCTTTTGGATCAAGCTTCATATTTACCATGCCCTGGATGACGAAGAACCTACACAGATATCTTTGGCTTTGTTAGAAGAAGGAAGAAACCAAGAGAGACACACACATGTTCTAACACACACACAATGTCTGCTGATAAATCTATATAGAAAATTGTTAAACACCTGAGGTTTAAACCCTGAAGAATATCACCGACAATTTTTTAAAAAAATAAAGCAAAGAAAAAATTGTATTTCCTAAAAAGTAGATGCACATATTCTCTCTTTCTACCTGGGCCTTCTTTAGTACCCTTTGCCGGGACCTGGACCAGCTGATAGAGCTTACAGATCAAACCTTAAACTCCATTAAAGATTGTTCTGAAGCGAAAACAAGTCTTTAGAAACAACCAGTTAACATCCAATCAAATAAAGAAGACAGGGATCACGTCATCAAATTAATCATTTCATTCATTTAATGGCTAAAAGTCAAAATAAATACAGAGTAGATATATTTCCCTTCAAGTATTGGATGATTAAAACATGTTAGTAACTCTACAGCATATTGTGCGTGATATATTCATGTGGTTTCCATTAGTCGCACACTCTCTGAAGACGTCTTTATAATCTGTATGTGGAGTTCGCCTCGGAGAGTTTCAATCAACCTGCAAGAAAATACATTCTTCAAATATGTTACCTGACACTTACAGATTCTTAATTAAAAAAAAAAAATGACAAAAGCAATAAACACATTTACATCCCCATTAGCTTTGGTCATGTGCTTTCAAAGTAAAATAAAAACAATAACATCACTACTTTTATGAAACCTAAATGCAAACAATCTTTTTGTCAAAGTCCTGAAACATTTCAAGTCATAGATATGTCATGTTAGAATGAAACAGCAAATGACTGAAGATCAAAAAAACAGCTTCTATTTCAGCTGCAGGCCACAAAGAAAGTCCCAGATTCTCTCCTTTGTGTCTCACTAACACAACACTGCAAATATGATAATACATGAAAAGATAAAACACTGAAAAAAGAAGAGTATCTACCTCGAGGAAAGCTCATGTAAAATATGTGTGTGCGTTTGATTGAATTTACTGCATGGGAGTTTCACATGTAAGAAATTTGATATACCGCTTTAAATTCATAAAAATAAAAACAATGGTGATAAATGATTAAAAGATCTGCAATATAACAACCACAACCTCCATCTGCTGTAACGTCTCTACTCCACACATCCACACACCACTTAATATCTGAAACTAATCAAGTACATATGACACTTACTTGACACATACTGGTGGTATTAAAATACCAACAAACACACAAAAACGTTCATCTTGAGCACAATAGACGGACGATACAACCGTAAATCTAGTTCTTAACACTGTACCTACTCAAAAAAAAAGTTGTATTGGAAAGAAACAACATTTGTATGGAGTGCCAAATGAGACAATATTTCAGTCACCAAATCTAAACACAAAAATTAGTGGACTTAATTTTTTCTTTTCATTTGTGTAAAACTAGGACTGTCAAACAATTCAACATTTTAATCTTGATTAATCACCAAATTTCAATATTTTATTGCCATTTATGATCGCATGTTTGAAATTATTTTAATCCGCACTTAAAAAAATAGTAAGGCTTTTATTTTGAAATGTTGTACTGTCTTAAGCTGAGTGTACTTTAACTCCTTCTTTTATAGAAAGGACAGTCTGCTGGCAGATTGTGTTGGCTCTTTGCAATTCAGAAGCACCCATAGACAACAGGAATACACTGAAGAGGCTTTTCTACGGTGTGCCCTAAAGGGACAAAATAGCATGTGGTTAAATTTTTTTAATTTCGACCTTAATTAATCACAAGTAAATAGTTGATGCTGACAGCCCGAGTATAAACACTCACCAAACCTAACCTCAATTTTGCTAAAATTCTTTAGCCAAAGTGACTTTAAGTGATCTGATGAAAATTACAGCTCAGTAGGCCTGTTCATCATCATGTCATGGTTAAATTAAAGCACCGCCTTCCTTTTATAGTCATCTGATCTTTACTTTATCTCTCGCTGTCTCATGTCTTGAACAGGTCGACAGAGTAAGGGTTGGAACTCGATTTGAAGTCTTTTCTTTCTCCTCATTGTTGCTCGACCAGTTTCTTTAAGACACTGAAACACGTCATACTTGAGAGGTGTGCTTAGGAAATGTGTTTAAAGATAATTATCTGATATGGAGAATCATCTACAGCCCCTTTATCTTGTAGTCAGCTGTAGACTGAGGTTTCCACTTTGTTGGAATCAGAGGATTTCCAATTTCAGTTTCAGTTTTCTTTGTGACCAACATGAAAATTAAGAACATTTGCAGGAAGTATTTCCCCCTTTAATTAGGTGGAGAGTAAAGGTGTGGAGGTATGGTTGGATGAGGTATGATGCATACAACAGGACAGGTTGTCCTGTTCCTGCAACTTTTCTAGTCTCCTGATCTAGCAGCAACAAAATGCTCTTTTATCTGGGCCGTTCTTATTGATTATGTCATTAACAGATGTACATTTTATTGATTTTAGAACACCATTTTTTTAAATTAAAACAAACTTTTTTATTTTTTCTTCAAATTTCGAAACCAATTACTTTTCTATAATAGAATCCAAAATAACAGAAGAATCAAACTCATAATATTCACTGTTGTTTGGCCTGAGTCTCAAGTTAAGAGGCAGATTGAGTAATGGTTTGTGTGGTACTGCTGGCTGTAAAGCAAATCACTCCTTTGGGGATGATTTTTTTTTAAATCCTTGATCCCTGACTTTAGGAGTTGACATTTTGCTTTAAAGGCATCTTTAAGAAATGGTACATTATTGTTGGTTGATAAGAATATGGAACTATAAGGCTAAATAATGACAGACATCACCAAAAACCAAAAGAGATCCACAACAACAACAAAAAGCCAGCATCCTGGCTGAAAGTACATTTTCCTGATAAGTTGCATAGTTCTGGTTTCGCGACCAGCTAGCTTTATAAATAATCTTTCAGAGGAAGGGCTCTATCTTAAATTATGAACATTTATATTTTGCCTGTACATGTTCACATCTTTCTTAATAACACAGATTAGTTTAATATCAATCATGCTGCACACTCTTCTATGTTGCTGTTAGCTTGGGCGCTAACAGTGATTACTCAAAGACACCATATAATCATAATTTTCACCTTTCATGTTTTCAGTCTGTGAAACCTTTAGAGAAGCTTTGTACAGTCACAAAACTCCTTGTTTATCTGATACTGGCGTCTGCCTCTGCCTGAAATGGTTCGTTTCAGCTGCTGTCTCTTTAAGGGCCCCTCCCTACATGCCCAATTTCTTCTGATTGGTCGGCTAACTGGAACCTTCCGGGGGTCTGAACGCTGCAGGGCTGCCATGGGAGGGCTGCTCTCCAGAGCTGGGAGAAGAGAGCCTATGCAATCTGATTGTCCAGCCTTTGGAGAGGCCATCTCGTGAAATTCTTGGTTTCATATCAGGGAACTATTGCGTGATTTACAGAACAAATCGTTAAGCGCCCTCTGCAGACTTATTCTGGGATTACTCCAACATACGTGATCTGAAACTTTGTTTGGGCATCCAGCATTGTAACACTATTGACACACACTGACTCAGTTTGATGTGCTTACAGATTATAATAATGCTATTATTTACTTTCAAATGCAAAAAACGGTGCCGCTATATGAACTCTAACTCCAGCTAAAAAACTCAAAGAAACACATTGTACACTACACTCACCTGTCACTGAATAAGTGAGAGGTGGTCTTAAACTTTGCTGGTGAAGAAAGTGGAACACATTTGGCAGATATTTTCCCAGGAGTTGGTTGAGACCAAAACCATGGTTAAAAGGAGAGCGGATATTCGACTTACATTCATCCATTTTGACACATAATGTCTGTGATGATATGAAACGCTGTTTGTTGAGTAAAGAGGAACCTTTAAGAACTCTAAGTCTAAATACTTAGAAAAAAATGTTGTGCCCCTTGATATGAAATAATATGTAAATTTCAGGAGATTGGGAGAGACTTGATAATCAATATGTTGCGATAATTTGGAAAATAATGGAATATTTGATTTGCAAAACTCCAATATAATGCAACAGTGGATGCAAATGTTCCCCTTCATCGGGGGGCCCCAACTTCAAACGAAGTCATTTTAGTAATAACTGAACTGTAATCTGAGCAACAAATCAAACGTTTTTGTACCTGTAACTTAATTACTATGACTATTGTTAGCTCATCTTAACTATGCACTAATTCAGGTTTTTGCTTAAGCTTCTGCTGCATGCCTTAATTTAAAGTGTAGTATCGTGATATTCAGAATTGGAGATCCCCAAGACTGATGCTGGTAGAGTGCTGTCAATGCATTTACTTTTTAGACTAGTTCAACCAATGGAAGCTGCCCCCTGCAAACCTTAACTGGATAGCTTTATGGATGGATGGATGGATGGCTGGACAGAATGATGGGCTCTGTATCTTGAACTGGGATCAGACTACACAAAATCTGCCATAATGGGCACCTGTGATTGAAAGGAGTGCAGGAAACAGTTACTGTTAATCATCTGTAAAGTGGAAGACAATTTATGCAGCTTTTTTGGAAAGCTCGAAATGCCATGAAAAATAAGAATGGAACATGTTTTATGATGGGGTTACAGAAGAGGATAATGCCAAGATATTACTACCCTTGTATAACTTGTATGTGATTTTGCATATATGATAGACTAGTGGCTCTCTTTCCAAAGTTGTCAAATACCAACGTTTTGGTGCCAGTTTAGCTCAGTCGGTAGAGCAGGCGTATCATATACAGAGGCTTCATTTTTTTGACACTGCAGCCACAGGGTTGACTCCTGACCTTGGCCTTTTGTTAGTCTATCCCACTCTCTCCAAGCTGCCCTATCAGTAGAGGAAAAAAAAGCCACACACAAATCATTAAACTAAACATTTTGGTATCCTTCAGCAACTGCATGAAATGTTTTGAGCTTTCTACTACCTCCAGTGACATTGTCAGTGTTAGAGACTGAAGAGCTGCTCTGGACCTCCTGCAGAAAATAAGACAGGTGATATGGACTGTTGATGTAAAGGATAATGGATGGGTCAAACAACTTAAGAATCCCCCAAAGAGCCGTGATTCCATGTGATTCCTTAACTAAACCAACTATTATTGTGCCCAAACCATACCAAATTAAACGAAACCAACCACATTACATCAACCACGTCTTAGAAAGGGCAAAGACACAACTTAAAACAGAAGCTCAATTGTTAATCTATGAGTTGCCAAATGGTGACTTGGCGGCCCCTGGATGGGATTGTTGGATAGGAAGTTGGATCTACGCAGTAAGTTACCGAATAATATTGCATTGAAATTCAGAAACCATTGAGCCTCGTTAAATAGTGCTTTTTTGCAGCTATTGTGCCAAGAGTGCTGAGTGAATAAACCAGCATGAAGCGATGTAAAGTTCTGATATTTTGCTAAGGAGCAACACTGCCCAAAAGTCCAAAGACCTAGTTCCCAGCAGTCCCCTTCTTCTTTAGATTCTTGAACCATAGAAAATAAATAGACTCCACATTTCCTTGATTTGTTGTGATTCATACAAACTGTTTCGTCTTGAGCGCAACACTTGGGTCTGAAAACAGTTCAAGAACTCATTGCGTCAACTCAGCATTACCGTCAAGTTTTAGTATTTGGCACACATGAATCCTCCTTTGTCTGGCCCTCAGAGGAGCTCCAGGTAAGTTTAATGAAGCCATGTACCTGCTGCAGTTTGACACCTAAGCGCAGTGTGAGAGCGACAGCTTTAGCAGTCCCTCCGTGTGCATCTTATAGAGGAGTTTGAACTCGGCAGGCAGCTGGTGGGACTCCTGCCACTTGGTGGTGAACTTGGTGCCCTTCTTGTCGTAGTAGTGGTACGGCAGCTCCTTTCCCGTGTTGGGGTCCCAGCCGAAGGGCCAGAAGCCGTACAGGTGGATCTGGTTGCACATGGAGGACGCCAGCGTGTACATCAGGATGCCGGTGCTCAGGCGCTTCGGAGAAAGCTGTTTGGTTTTCCAGTAGCTGTTGAGAAAAGGAGAAACTATTTTACAAAAGCCTGCGTTTATTACAGCCTTAAAACTTGGTATGACGTGACTCTGTAGTTGTAAGCTACTGATGAAAGTAGTATTGTGGTATCATAGAACTTGCTGAGTTAATGTGTTAGCTTTGAATCTACAGTTTTCATGTTATTATTATGTTTTGCCAAGCAATAACAAAACATCATTACATACCTGCTCTGATTGACACCTGAAAACTGAACTCCAAAAAAGAACAGAGCATTCTTGGAACTTGTTCAGAAATAATGGACATTAAACTGTTCGGGAAGGCAATGACGTACAATGGTTTAATAAAAAAATAAACTAAATCTGACCACTGATGATGCTTTTATCAAACAGCCCTTCAAACACCAAGAGGTAACCCTTCAAACTGAGCTCAACAAAAGCATATTGGAGAGTCCTCGAGGTGCTGAAAGCCACCTGAGCTGCTGAAACGTGATAATTCTTCTGGAGCAGGTAGTTTTAATGGGATTGGTGAAGATTAGGCTACTGTACGAGCTGCCTATTCTGCTGCTACAACACTAAGCACCAGACTTAAATCCCTCTCCTCACACACTGTTACAGCTCTGTGCCATACCTTTCACTAAATAGCTGTTTCCTTATAATCCGGCTTTGGAGCTTTAATCTCTCCTGGCCATTTGGAGCACAGCTCAATACAATACAACCACACGCTAGTTACCACAAACAGGGCAAAGACACACTGGCAAACCTTAAAGCATATAGAAAAATACAAAAAAAATAGACAGGTGGACAGAAAATCACTGCAACATGTGTCCAATCAACCAGACGTGCATCTTTTCTAATCTAAGTTGTTTTTTTAATGAAAAATCTCATCCTGCTGCATCTTAACAGTCAAACGTTTCACTCCTAGGGAATCACAGAAACGGTACATAAAGACACTTACAGTCGGCATGTTGTAAATTGATTTCTCAGACAATAAGCCACTGGCAGAGGCAAAAGGCATTCAATATTTTATATAGAAATATTCAAGCTCTTTGCTAATGATCTTGTTTTCTTCAGTAGGTCATATAGAGAGCAAAAACCTCCTCACATGAGCTTTAATGTACTGCAGTGTTTCAGTGTGACTTACCTGTTGATGTACTGCATGATGTTTCCAGGCCAAGCCAGCTGGACCTTCAGCTGACCTCGATGCTCCACGAAAAAGTCGACCAGCGTCCTCGTCACCGTGGCTGACGTGTGGAAGAAGAACGCTGGGATCCACAGGATGGCTCCGTCCAGCCTCTTCAGGCTCAGGAAGAAGTTGTTCCTGTCCTGCACAGTCAACAGATTGTTGTAGTATTTCTCCAGGATGCTGGGGTTAAATGTCGTCATGTTCGTCTGCCGCCCTACGTCCTTCTTAAAGACCTCAGTCGGTGCAAAGTTGCAGCGAAAGACATAGTCAAACTTCTCTATCTGGGGGCCACAGCGCGAGCCGGTGAGGATGCCGCTGTTTCCGATCACAGCGCAGACATTGTAGTGCTTGTTGAGGATCGGCGAGACCTCAGGGAGCAATGAGCGGAAGTTCTCGCCGATAGAGAAGACGTACTTGTGGCTGGAGTAGTCGTAATGCATCAGCTGTCCGATTCGGACTGATTTTTTTGTCAGTGTGAAGTTGTGAGGGATGTCGATGTACTGAGCGATCTCCTTTCTGCAAGAAAACAACGACATGTTTAGTTCATGTGTTCATCCAAACTATCAGCAGTCACAAGTCTGTGTATTTGGATCTCTGAATCAACAGCAGAGTGCATCACTTTGGTTTTCTCTGTCAGAGCTCTGCAGAGGCTCAACAGCTGGTAAAGTGGACACAACAAAATGTAATTGTCATAATGGAGAACAGTGGATCACAGAAAATCCTGTGAGAGGTTTAAGCCTAGAACAATACAGATCTGATGATCACATTAAATACCAGCTCTGCATTTTAATCCTTCAGAACGATAATCAGGATGAGAATGATTCATGTATTGTATATTATTCTCAATATGCATTAAACATGATCAGTGTGCAGATGAAAGTTTTATAGTCGATTGAGGAGCAGGATGTTAATGCGAAACAGTTGTAGCAATTTAAACATTCAAGTTTATCTGAAGATTATCTAAACACTCAGACATGACAACTGTGAGTCGTGACTCTCTTTAGACTTGTTTAACTTGAGTCTTGCAAGAGAACATATCTATTAGGCTGATCCTTATTTAATGCATACAGATAATGTTACCATGCTGGATGTCCACACTAAACCTCCTCAAAGTTTTTTTCAACACAACATACACAGTTGTTGGCATAATCCCTGGAAGTGGTTTACTGCTGCTCTGAACAAGAAATTACGAGAACTTCACAAGACTTGGCCTGAACCTGATGAGAGCAAAGCATGGAGCCAAGTTGAAGTACATGTCCACTCCGGCAGCTCTTTCAATGACACGCCCAAATTCCCGGCGACTGCAAATAGAGCTGGCCGATCAGCCAGACAGCAGATGAAATTAACCGTTTTGATGCCAGTGTAAGATAAATAAGGAGGTTTTTGAGCTACACATCTCGCAATGCTATTCTACTGGTGTCCCAGGCTGACATACTGTAATTAATGGTGAAAGTCAGGATAATAGATACCCTTTAAGTGTCAAGTTTAGACCTAAAGCAATATAAAAGGCTTCAATAAAAGTTCTCCATAAAAGCTGCCTCTGTTTTTATTGCTGTGACTTTGTTGAATTGGTTTTAAGCTGAAGAAGTCAAAATTGAAGCATTTTAACCAGTGGTCCTCACTTCTGTAACAGTATTTCAGGACTGACAAAAAAGTCCACAGTTACCCAGAACTTCCACCAGATAGGTGAGTCAGCTCTGCTCCAGCACATTTCTGTGCTCCGTCAACACCCACAGGCTGCGTTCTCAGAGCGCACCGCCCATGACAGTGTGAGATAATACGATGTATATAGACGGCTTAGGACTGTCGGAGCTGAGACTCAGCGCTTCAGAGCCAGTGGAAACACACATTGAATAAAGTAAAAACCTATCAGCTCCACCGCCATGGCGGACCAGAGACGGACAGAACACGCATTTGGAGGAATTTCCCAGTTAGAGAGGGGCGGTGTGTGTTCATGTTTTAGTGTAACCTACTTGAGCTTTATGAAAGCAGTGCTGTTGTAGCTCCATTTGGAGGAGTTCTGCAGGTCCTCACTGAGGGAGTTGGTCAGAGGGCTGAATCCTGGATCCAGATACTTCATGGCCAGCTGGGAGCTAAAAACAGATGAGGAAGAAGAGGAGGAGGAGATAGAAACATGGAAGTTAACTCAGTCTTTTCATGTCAGGAGGAGGGTACCTTAAACCACATGACCTTCAAAATGTTTAGAGTAGAATTTAATCCCTTTTATAACGGTTTTGGTTTTCTTGTTGTTCAATAGATAAAGATACTTAATTTTCACAAAGTCATCCTAAGGATGTTTTCACACCTTTAGTTTGTTTGCTCTGGTCTGATCCATGGACCAATTTATATTTGCTGAATTACCTCAAGTTCGGTCCAGCTTCACACAAGGACATTTACAAACAGAACGTTATGTGTGGTGTGCAAGGAAAGTTATCTCTGAACTAAACAGTTCAGGTGTGAAAACGCCCTTAGTAATGTTTTTAAAAGCTGAGGCTTGGACGGTCTTAGCAGAACAAAAGGAGTACTGACATTTGTTTTTTATCCTTCATTACCGCCCTCTTCTCAGAGTCAAAGTGCCTCCTAAAGAAGCTGATTGAAGTGTGCAAGTGTTTAAGCAGCCATTCAGCAAACTTCAGAATATCTTTTGTTCCTGTAGGGAACCAGCAGCAGTGAAAAACAGATCCAGCATCATTCATCATTTACAGCATCAGCTCAGTGTTAACTTTGACTTTCAGCCTCTTGATTTGTGTTCCCCCCTGTGGATTGAAAAAAAAATTAAATCCACTCATTGTGGTGTATGCAAAAGAGCAGATAGGCCAAACTGTTGCAGAGATTCTGTCCATCTTAGCAAGTAATTCTTTGGAATATGAAATATTTATCCTTCAAATAAACCTGGTTTCATTTAACATCATCACCTTTGAAAGATGGTTTTAAGGCTCTCCTTGTTTCAAAATGAAGCCTTGTTTGGTGCATTTCATTTAAATTGTGTGAAAAAGATAATGACTTCACCATGTTTCATTTTAATACGAAGGAGGTCGAAGTACTTGTTAAGATGAACACTTTCTTTTCTTTTTTTTGCAGTGCAAAAAGCCTCAACGCTACCAGCAATGATAAACAAGACTTAGCAATTAATCACATAGCCCTCTTTAATTCTTTGATAGCTTTTTAATATACACCTGATTTATCTTTGTATGGAAACCTTGACATTTTTAACACATTTGAAGTCTTCTTTGACTTCATCTTTCTATAAAATCTAAGCTTTTCAGTGTCAAAAATAAGCACTTTGAGTGCGCTTCATTGGACGAGGTGTAGTTGCCCTGAAGAATTAGGTTGCAGCCATGAGTGGGGGTCAAAACCTCAGCGAAACGATTCATATGTTTCCATGAACCATGAAACTGGGCCATTGACCAAATTGTAGTAGGTTTTTACCGATCCATGCCTCCGCAGACCGAGACACATCTCATGGCTGCCAGCTGAAGCAATCCACTTGCTAACTCAGCGTCATTTAGAGTCAAAACATGTGAGCACACGTGTGGTCCAGGTTTTAAAAAACAACAAAACAAAAAAACTTTACAGGAGCCCTTATCTTCTGCCTGAGACTAAACATTGAAATGTCAAGGTTTCAGTCAGACTCTGCTGTGGCAGACACAACTTGGTCAAATAGTATTTAAAAGATCTAAATTTCGAGATCAACCAATTCAGGGGAGTTTAGTGCATCAGGGCAGATCTGACAGACACAAAGAAAACATACAAGATCATTCAGACATTCTGTAAACCAAACTGTCCTGAATGTGAAACCCCACCGTTATGATGCCCAGTCAGTCTGCAGCAGAAACAAGTGTTTGTACTGTTGGACCTGGATCTGAGGGAAGTCAGACCTCAAGCAGATTTATTCTGTTTCTTGCAGCATCTGCAATCTTTGTACAGAAAGGCTCAGTCCGAGAGGAGCAACGCTGAGTCAGGATCAGCATGAAGTTACTACTGATCAGAAGAATACTTTGAAGTTGAGAACATTTCAGAAATGATCGAGACATCTGTCCTTCTTTTAGATTTCTGTAGAGATGTTGGACATCTGTAGCCATCTCGTGCTGATCCTGACAGTCAATATGCAAACACGTTATTATCTTGCGTGCAAAAGATAATAACTCAGATTAAGATTTTTAATAAATACTTTTGTGGTTTTCATGGCTCAATACGACTTTGTATTCCCAAATATGTAGATGACACATTTCAAGCAGTAGGAATCAAAATGAAACAGAATAACTTGATAATTCGTGGTGATTTCGTATTGAAATAGTAGTTGTGACTTGATTTTTTTACAGCAGGTATTCTTTTTTTTTCAAAACAACGCTGCACTATCCAAAGAAAATTAGGCAAATATAACCTGTTGGTAAAGAAAGAAACAGATGAAGCAGGGTCTGCTTATAGCTCAAGACAAAAATGTTGTGCTGCCAGAAAAAGTGCCTCTCAACAGCAGCAAATGCTCAACAGAAAGAAGCAAGCTGTTTGGTTCGCTGCTGGAAAGAAAGGTAAAGCTCAAACTGTAATATTAGAAAAACAAATATTCAAATAATGCAAAAAGCAAAGACAGAGTAATATTTGTAGTTAAACGTCAGCACTTTGTATTCACCTCAGGTCGGGTTTGCGAGGCGGCCTCTCGCTGCAGGAAGAGGAGCGTACACAAAGACAGAACAATGAACTCTTTTCTTAACATGACATAAAAAGAGACTCTATGAAGATCTAACATGTTCAGTTAAAGGAAAAGTCTCATACTCTTACTCTTTAACAGTATTATAGTAACATTTCTGCCATTTGAATTGCTGTATTGTGTAAAATGGTGCATTTGAGTTGTGTAGCAGTTTGTAAAACCAAGCGCAGTGCTCACTAAATGTGAAAATAGATGTTTTAGAAATTGTCCTGGGAATTATCGGGGGGCTTGAATACGTCTCGTGGATTTCTTGGTTTCATATCGGGGAACCCCTGATTTATCCTGGGATTACTCCAACATACATTTACCTCATGATATGAAACCTTGCCCAATGCCCATGTTTAGTATGGACATCCAGCATTGAAATAGGCCAACTTTAAGTCCAAATTGTACTGCCAATACTACTTATACTCATACTTAGCTTGAGCTGAACTTTGTGTGCTAATGTGTGACTGTTAGCATGCAAACATGTGCCACTAAACCAGCAACTACCGTGTCTTTAGGGTTAAATCACTGTTTTTATCACCGTTTGACAGTTTTGTCAAGGGAAATATGAGAAGCTGTTCCTCCCCTGAAAAAGAGGAACTTTAGTTTCATTAAAAAATCTATTTCTGTGGGGATTTGTTGTTGTCAGACATGACAATCTTTTCCTGTCAGTGTTCGACTTTGATCAGGCTTACTTTCATTAAAGCGATTACAGTCTGTCTTGTGGCTGCCAGATGATGCAATCTTTCAGAGTATAACCAAAACTTTTTTTACCATTACTATTGTAGACTCCAACATATGTAAAAACTAGAGTCAGGGTTTAAAAATACCCCAACTTAACTTATTTCTTTCCGATTCTCCAACAGTGTTGTTGCACAGTGTGCAGAGCCAACACACCGCCGTCATAGAAATCTAATCTTCAGAGTCCAGTGGAAACTTTGTTCTAACGGTGGTACTTGCAGATGGCTCAGGGGGATCATCAAGTTACTTGGGCTATTATCTTTTAAAGGTCACGTATTCTCCTCCTCTTCAACCAGTTTAAATAAGTCTCAGAGCTCCTCAAAACATGTCTGTGAAGTTTCTTGTTCTAAATCCACTCTGATCCTGTATGTGATCATGTCTATAAACCCCTGTATTTCAGCCCTGCTCAGAACAGGCTGTTTCTGTGTCTGTACCTTTAAATATGTAAATGAACTGTGTCTGACCACGCCCCCTCTCTGGAAGGGCTTGGGTGTCTTGGGCTTTCTCACTCCATGCTCTATTGTTTACGGTGAGAAGGCAGACTCAGAGGGCAGAACAAACACCTAGCTGTGGGAGTGTCACCCACCTGGGGGAGGGGTTACTGCCCTTTGTGATGTCATTAAGGGATAATCTCCAAACGGCCTGTTTGAGAACACATTTTCTGAAAAGAGGAGCAGGTAAAAGACGGAGAGGATGGACTTTTCTCATCATTGGGGGTTTGTAGAAGACAGACTAGAGACACATATTTAGTGTTAGGAAACTGGTTAAGTGCATTTTTCATTATATGTGACCTTTAAATGTAATATAATAGTTTTTCAGAGTGCAGATAACTTTACAGTGATTACTTCCTTCTTTCCACTGGCTGCAGGACATGCAGAACACAACAGAAACTGCCTCACACAATGTCCCAACACAAAGGAGGACTTGCATAGCCGTCCACCGACAGAGTATTTTCTCTAAAAAGGCTTCTCTTCTCTCCTTCACATCTAACTCATTCTGTGCACAACCTTGGCCTCAGGTGACAGGGAGGCGAGGAGGAAAATGATTACAGGCAGGTTGAAAATGAATGCAGCTCTCACACAGTAAATCAGAGCCAAGGACGGCTTCGCTGGCCTCCAGAACCTTCCTCAGAATGAGACTGTTTAAGCATCACACTCACACCTGACGGAGCCCGCTGGATAACAAAGATTTACTGTATGATTTTCCATGCAGCTGAACTGCAGGAGACCAACTCAAACCTGACAAAAACTATCACTGGGCTCTCCTCATGCCAGCTGATATACTGTTTGGATTACAAACAGGTGCAGGGAAAAAGAAGGTAACATATAGCTGTTTCCCATAAATGAACACTTATAGAGCATCCTGTTGAGGTAGATGTAATCCCAGCCAGCTAAAAAAAATCTGAATTCCATTTCTCTTGTATTGATCAGTGCAACTTTTGTTTCATAATGCGCAAAGACAAGCTGTACTTTGGTTCATTTTTGGCATTTGGCCAGGAGGGTGCTCTTTGCAGCTGTTGTGACCGTCCACTTCAGATGCCACCTCAAGCAGATTGTCCCGTCACAGGGTCTTCTCTGTTTCAGTGCACTGATGAGCTGCTAAACAGGTCACAGGAGCGACCTATAGTGTCACTCTGTTAGCATGTTAGCAAGTGGCAGTATCCATTCAACTGTTGGATGACAGAAAAACATCAGCCTTGGTTAATCTGTAGGGCTGAAATCAGGTAAAAGTGCGAAAGTCAATGAACAAAAAATGCAGACTGCACTGGCATTAGTTAATTTGAAAGAGTTTGGTTATGTTAGCATGTTCAGAAATGACCTGCATGTATGTTCCCATTGAGATGTATGTGACTTCCAGGATTTTGGAGCCAGCTTTAAGTGGACACTCAAAGATCTGCAGTGTTTTAAACTTCCTTATTAGCTTCATTTTCTCACACGAGAGGTTGCCGTTTGTATTTTCGTTGCATCATTTAAGTTTAAATATGTTGATGTTGATCTTTTAAACAAAACACTGCTAATTGTGCCTTAAAAAAACTCCATGGGAATATTTCAATGAACTGAATTAGTGAGAGAGCTGTGATTGGACGAGATGATCTAGTTCACAGCTGGATTAAGTGACAGATGCTTTACTTTCCTTTAGGCTGATACACACTCACACTGACATGTACTACTTATAAACCAGTTCATCAAAGCAAAGATGTTTTCTCATTAAAGAAAAATGAACAACCAGTGTCCTCCAAGACTGAAATGAAAGATTGGAAGGAGGCAAGAATTGATTCCAGATTTAGTCTGGATGTATGTCGCTCTGGACAAAAGTAAGAAAAAAGTTAACAGAATGTGATGACACATTTTAATTAGGTTTATCAGATTCTTCTACCTGTGAATGAAAACGCTTTGCAGAGGCAGCAACAGTAAACTTCATTTCACACTAAAGGAAATATCAGTGGCTATTTTGGTGTTTTTGGTTTTTACTACGAGGGACTTTCGTTTTGCTTGCATTTGAACGCAGCATGTGGAAGAAGCTATACGTCTAATTGCTTTGCTGATCTTGTTTTGTGTAAACATTGTTGCTCTCTGTTAACAGTCACACATATCACTTACTGTATGAATTACTTTTTTGACCAGGATGGAGGATGTGTTTATTGCACAAACATATTTTATCCTGCCAGGGTCCTTATTCATAAGATCCTTTTTTTTTTTTTTTTTTTTAACTATTTAAAGTTGTCTTCATGCCACGGTATTATCGAAAAAGAAATCATTCACAATTCTCTAAATCTGGGCTTTGCACACTAATCTTATTCTGCATTATTACAATGGGGAGGGTTGGATTCACACTTTAGTCCAGGTATCTTTATGCTAGCTTGAATCACGTGATCCACTGTAGCTCAAACCAAAACAAGCCAGAGACCTGAGTGCACTGTTTTCAAATAGGTGTGTTTAAAATGATGTAATGACGCATGTTGATATATAAATACAGTTTGGTTGGAAATAAAACAGTCTGATGGTGATTAACACAATGAAATGAATAATAACATGCTGCAGTAAACCACAAAGTCGGTCTGTGGGCTGCCAGGCCTGAAACAGCGGAGAGGCCTTCATCTGAGTGTGAGGCTCTGATAGGCTAAGAAGATAAAGTTGATGCATCTTTCTTATTATTACTCTCTCTTTCAGCACACACTGAGAACGGTTGAAGGCCTAACTCTAACAACACTCAGAGACAAACATTTAAAACATAAACACTAAAGAAGTGTTGCATTGGAAAGCTTATAAACACTGCATCATCTCAGATTTTACCCTGTCAGCATGAACAGACTGCACCTGGTACAGCTAAAAATAAAAGCCTCTGCTGATGTGATGCACACACACACTCAGCAGATGTCTGCAGCTCTGCAGCCCGGCCTGCACTCACCGAAACCCCGCATGGAACATGGACAGCCTGGATCCTCCATTAGGTCCGTATCTGGGGGTGCTGAGCAGGAAGTCCTTCTTGATGGACACGTAGCTGATGAGCGACAGGATGAGCAGCGCCACGCTGAACATGACAAGCCCGAGCGCGCTGACTATCCGCACCATCCTGCGTCTCTGCGGGAACCAGCCCCCCCGGACCAGAGGATCAGAGCTGGGCCAGGACGAGGAGACAGCGAGCACCCAGGTGCACCGCATCCGCAGCAGAGAGAGGGCGTAGACGCGGAAAAGACGGTGCACGCTTCACGTAGATATCAGAGTCCATGTGGAGAGGAGGAGCACAAGAGGTGGCGCGGCAACGGAGACGCACTGGCGGCAGAGAGGGACGCATAGATTCAAAAGGCCGGACATACAGAAAAGGAGGTTCAAATCGTGGAGTGATTGACGCCACTTACAGACGACAGGAATGCAGAACAGTCCGTGAAGGGAGCAGGGATAAGGACAAGGAGGCCGCTCTTCACATCCTGGATCCAAAAGCTAAATATGAGCTAAGGACGTAGCAACGCGCCTGCGGATGAAAAGGCGCAGGAAGCACAAGCGTGACGCATCGACAGCTCATGTATCACAGGATGGAGAGCGGAGGTGGGAGGAGGAGGAGGAGGAGGCTTGGAGGTGTTTCTGCAGGCGCACAGGGTTAGCAGCCGGTGTCAGACCCTGAAGGCGGTGAAATGAAGCAAAGACGTCCTGCAGGGAGAAGATGGAGGCTGCCGGAGGATGCTGCTGCCTCTCTTCATCTGCATCTCTCTCTCTCTCTCTCTCTCTCTCTCTCTCTCTCTCGCTCTCTCTCTCCCTCCTCCTCCTCCTCCATCTCCTCTGCCTGGCTGTTTGTTTAATTAAAGCGGATTGTCGCTTTAAGGAGACGCAGCTCTTGTAGGCTATCTCTGTAATCAGATCAACATCAGCAGCAACCGAGGCGGAGCTCTGAGTCCTGATGGAGGCAGAGAGAAGGGCTCCTGCTGCTAAGGGAACATCCAGTGTGTACTCAAACATCTTGAAAACATGAGAAGATATAAAAACATATAGGCTATCAAAAAGTCTGCTGCCTCTGCTAAATATGTTTTATTGAGGAAATATCTCCATGGTTTCTATGACTCAGTGTGAGTCAATGTGTGTAAAAAAAAAAAACATAGGCATATGGTTTATCTTGTGTTTAGGCCCACGTATCAGATATTTTTTAAATAGCCTACTGCCTTATAAATCAAAGAATATAGGCTATCACTCTAAGAAATACAGTGTAAGAATTTATACAATGTGAAAATAAGCTTGACACTGGGTCCAATCATCTTTGGAACTGGGTTAAGTTAACCAGTATGGCCTCTGTGCAATATTGATCCCATACTGGATCACTTTTTCAACCAAGTGTTTTTTTATGTGTCCAATTTGAATAACTTTAAGTCAAAGCAGCATTTTGTAAGAATTCAGTTTGATGCGCTTCGATGCCCACTGAAGTCTCTGAGTTCAGCTGCACTGGCGTTAAAATCACACACACACACACACACACACACACACACACACACACACACACACACACACACACACACACACAGTGTATTGACATAGCCAGCCCAGCCAGCTAGGTGTCGGACTTCCAGCCTACTGTTTCACCAAGATCTTGCCAACGTGTAAAATCCTGTCCAGTATAGAATCCAGCCTGATTTCTTCCTCGGTCACTCTTTCTATAGGCCTATCTCTTCTTAGCTTCATACATACGTCATCGCCCTCTTCCTCTTAGCCTCAGCCATCGTATCAAACATTACTGAGATGTGCTGACTGGCTTCTTTTTAGCTGAAGGCTACTGTGGGAACTTGTGTTGTATAGGGCCGTATATGTAGCCTACCTCCCGTGGGAGAAGTGCGACCCACTGCCAAAATTACAAAGTGTTGAAAGCATGCGACCGGGGCGATCTGTGGAAATGGTGTAGCAGCGTTTTCCATGTTATTGCACTATTAGATGGACTTTGAAATTACAATTTTAAGGTGGAAAAGTTACATATCGTTGCTTTAAATCACTCCTACACTTGATGGTTCGGCAGTGGGTAAGCAGTGAGCACTCAGATGCTGAGCAGAAATGTGCTTCAATAGTGGATGTGGAGATCAGGATTGGGCTCTTTAAGCATAACTTCCCAGAAGATCACATGTTCACTGTACTTACCGGTGCAGTTAGTGCTGGGCTGTGTAAGCAGTGTAAATCCATAGTTATCGATGGTATTTTTACAGGTAGTTTTGCAATTGTAGGATGTAATCCACACCTAATCCCTGCGTTATAGGATTACACATGTATGGATTCAACATGGCGAATAAAAAGGCAACAAAATATGTCGATGATTTTAAGCTGTTGTGTTTTTTATGAAATAGAAACAGACTGACAACAAGAAATCCTATAGAAACATAAAGACTCCAGACAGACAGACAGACAGGCTGCTATAGGAGCTGGCATTTCAACACTGACCTTTCTAAGGTCTTAAAGGCCTGACAGAGCCTTACACACACACACACACACACACACACACACACACACACACACACACACAACAGACACAGACAAGGGGGGGTCTTAAGGCTTTGTAAAGCTGTCAAACAGACACCGATTAAGATCCTTAAGCTTCAAATGAAATGTCTCTTTTAACGGAGAAGATGTTAAAAAAAAAAAAAGAGAGAGAGAGCGAAACACCAAAGCAGACAATAGAAAAGAGCAGCAAAGTTAGAGGAGAGGGTTTGGGAATCTCTTCAATTAATGAACGAGACGAGGGAACAGAAGGAGTCAGGGTGAGATATGTGACTGTAACAGAAGAAGCAGTGTAATGATCCCGAGAGGAGAGAGAGAGAGAGAGAGAGAGGGAAGACGAGGAGAGATCCAGGATGAAGATATCTGCGTATCAGCTCGATAAACAGGCCATCAGGATTTGTGTTTTCCCTACAGAGCAGCCGACTCTGTAATGATGCTTCCTCATCCCTCTGAGCCCCGAAGAGTCACCAGCTGTCACTGTTTCACACGCTGATGTCAGAATATGGACCACTCTGACGTCACTACTCTTATTTAATAGCTTCTTATACACTGATTGCGTATTGAATCAAAGTTTGTCTGAGCGACACAAAGCATTGACAGAAATCCCCAAAAATAATCCAATAGTTACTGTCCATAAAGTGTTCCTGTGTGAGTATTACCACCAGCCCTCACTGAAGACATTGAAGATAGTGAAGTGCATGAAAAGAGGACAAAGCATCTGAGACTTTGCCTCTTGGTTTGTGAAATCCTGCTTGATTGTAATGATGATGTGATGATGTAATTTGTGGGCGGAGCTCAACTGGTGGCAGAAAGTTAGCAGTGTTGATACTCTGGTGGAAGCAGGACCCTTGTTTGCCATCAAAATAATGTTAAACATATTTCTACACCACACACAAAGTCGAGTGGAAAGACGTGCTTGTTGTGTTTGATTGTGACACAATCTGTACTCACTCATGTTTGATTAAAGATCTTAACTTTACACACGTTTCAGTCTACAAGTCATCACTTTGTGGGGTTTCCATGAGTTTGGACAGCAGTAGTACGGGACACGTACAACAAGTGTTTCTTTTTCTTTCTTTTTTTTAAGATACATTTTTGGGCTTTTTGGGGCCTTTAATGGAGTGATGAGACAGTGAATAGAGTCAGAAATCAGGGAGAGAGAGAGAGTGGGAAATGCCGGAAAGGAGCCACAGGTGAGACTTGAACCTGGGCCGGCCGCCCGGAGGACCACAGCCTCCACACATGGGGCACGCGCACTAACCACCACGCCACCAGCGCCCGCATAAGAAGAAGTTTCTAAAGAAGTCACCAAAATGTGCATCTTTAAACGGTGACACACGGTACACATCTTGGGATACCTCGGGGAGAAACCCAGAGTCTATATACTAAAGAAAAATTCAAGATATACAAATCTCTTGACTCGTACAATTCTGTACTTAGCTATCACGTCCAGAACATTGAATACTGAGATTTGTCAGGTGGCTTTGGTGTATGAATGATCAACGGACTATGCCTAGCAAGGCCATAAAACGTAGCTTCACACCTGTATTCAGCTTCTAAGAGCGTCCTCAACAATATTATTCTGAAGAAAGCCGAGGTCATGTTGGTTCAAGGATCTGGTCTGCGTCTCCTTGTTTCCAAGATGTGCACACAACTGCTGTGCTGTAATCATGACGTCTACTCCAAGTTGGTCACTTGGTTGCCATTTTGGGTTTATGGGGGCAGAAGTGACCATATTTGGAAGAGATGGCGGAGCTGGAGTGAGGAGACAAACAAACCCTTCTTATTTGATGTAATATTTTAAAAAAAAACTGACTGATCGATAGCACCGGTTTGTGAAAATACTGAGAGCAGCAATGATTGATGGATGTGGTGTCATTCTCAAAGTTTTACATACAGATATATTTGAATAAAAAACGTTTTCTTCTGCCTATGTTAGAACAGGTGTATACTCTGACTGTGAAGGATAAATGTGGTGGTTTCCCTTTGTTCTCGCTCCTCTGCAGCAGTCCCCCAGAGCCCTCCAGTTAAATAAGAAGAACTCATGAATGAAGCTGATCAGATTTTCATGCGAACTCTGTGATATGAAACCAATCAGAGGAGCTCACATCTCATGAAGGAGTCAATTAATAATCAATAGTCATTAGAGCGGGGAAGGAGGGGGGGGCGATCAGAGGCTGCAGCTCCGCCTGTGCTAGAGGAGCGTGAAATTACTGTTCTGTATGTACTGTATACACACACACACACACACACACACACACACACACACACACACACACACACACACACACACACATACACACACACACACAATAACAGTCATAACTAGAACCCCTACCCGGCACCTCCACTTAAACCTCCCATAAATCGTCCAGATTTAAAAGTATGTAAATACTCTCTTTGTTCAGTGCACTTATGATCTAATCTTCATTCATTATGGTCCACAATTTTTCTGTCTTTGACTGTTAAATGCAGAAAAAGTTCAACATGATGCATCTTTTTTCTAATCTGATTTTAAATTGTGATTATTCTCCAATATACTCACACATGATGTTTCCAGTTTAAAATGAATACCCACAGATTTGTATATATTTCTTATATGTTAAAAGTCACACATCACATGTAGTAAAGATCACTATTGTGTTATCTTTTACTTCCTTTAAAGGGGAAATATTATGAAAAATCCACTTTTACAGTGTTTCTGAACATACAGTATATGTATTTGGGTAACCTGAGTGCCTACTGACCCACAACATGTGAAGCTTCATATTACACATAGGCTGACACAGAATGACCATGATCTAAAGACCCTCACTGTATGTGACATCCAAATAAGCAATG